CAGAGAGAGGATTGAAAATCAAAGATAAAAAAAATAAAAAATAAGTATATGAAAGTAATATCTATTATAAAAATGAATTAAAATAAAATGGAAAATAAAATAAAAATAAAAAAAAAAAAAAAACAAAAACCAAAAACTTCCAAGTTTATATGCAATGCAATTTCAGTCTTAATAATTTGGATGTCCGTCTCAATCTCCAGTCCTGGAGTTGGTGCCTCAGATGTTGTTCTGTAGTTGTCTCATCAAAGGGGATGCATAAAGTAGAACAAAACTACACTCACACACACACAGAAGAAAAAAAAAAAAAAAAGCCCCAAAGTGTCCCCAGTTCAAATGCAATACAGTTTCAGTAAGTTTTTCGGCTTGCAGGTGTAATTCGGTTGTTCTCTCATCAAAGGTAGGGAGAAAAAGAAAAAAAAGCGTCTGGAGGCAGTTCTGAGAGTGGTATCTGCAACTGTGGCTTGCCTGCCTGCTGCTCTCAGCCTGTAGCTGGCGGCGTTATTTATGCAGATCTCTGGGGTGAGCTTAGCACTCACCTGGTCCCACAGGCTTTGTTTGCTCAGAGTTCTCCTGTGCGGGGAGGGGGCCTCTGCTACAGGCTTTTCCCTTTCCAAGCACTGGGAAAGGCGACACTGCCCCGCGTTGTCAGGCCTGCGTGTTTATTTACAGTTCACGTGGGAAGTGGGTCTTCCCTCCTCTCACAAGCGTCCCCGCTCCTGGTTGCTGGCGCGCCCCGCTCCCGCCAGAGCCTCTCCGGCCCGCCCGGCTCGTTTATTTACAGTCCCGGGAAGGATTCCCTTCCCCCAATCTTCAGCGCTCAGGGCGCCCCACCCTCTTTCCAGCGTGTCTTAACTGTTCTTATTGCTTAGTACTCAGTTTCTCTTTTTTTCCCGGGTGGAGGTCAGTCTGTCCAGGGGGCTATGCTGCTCTGGCCCAGGCTTGTCTGTGGGGGAACCGCGGTACCGCGAAGCTCACCTGGTCCGCGTCTTCCCAAGCCGTATGGGCGCCGGCCACTGGCGGCCCCGGGGGCCTCCTCGGTTCTCCGTTTAACGTGAAGTGGAGATTCTCTGCGCCGGCTGGAGATGTGGAGGAGTCAAAGTTATGCCTTTTCTCGGTGATTATGCCTGCAAAGTGTGTCTCCAGCGTCTCTCCAAGATTTCACTATAGGAGGGTCGCTTTCTGCTTCCTACCTCTAGCCGCCATCTTGGAATCTCCCCCCAGAATTACCTTATCTCTGAAAAATTTTAACTTTTGCTTTAAGGCTTTCAACTAATTGAATGAGACCCACTTACCTTGTCAAGGAGAATTCTCTTAAATTCAGCTGACTGTGGACATGAACCAAACTATAAAATAGTTTTAAAATATAAAATATAGAATAGTTTTCTTCATAGGCATGCCTAGATTAATGTATCATTAAACAACTGGGCACTGTAGCCTAGTGAAGTGGACACATTAATCTAACCATGTATTATTTGGGAAAAACCAGAGCATAAGTTTTCCCCAAAGTTCTGTCCTTAGCTATCTTTTTTCATCATCTTCTCCCCTGATGTTCCACATGGAAGTGTAACACACAGTCTCAAACTTAACCAGTTGAAAACAAAATGTTGCTCCTCACCCTTCACCCTCCAAACCTTCAAACTTGCTCCTTGCTCCCATTTCAACACCACTCGTTCTGATTTCAAAAACCTTGGAGGCATCCCTTATCCTTCTCTTTCTCTCATCATTTGTATTAAGTCCATTGGCAAATCATGTCAGTACTGCCTTTAAAGTATATGGAATCAATTACTTCCCACCACCTATATTGCTGCCACCAGGCCCCAGTCAAAGCCATCATCTCTCAATAAGGGTGCTATAACCATCTTGTCCTCTGACTCCTGTAGAATGAATGCACTCTTTTTTTTTTTGGTGGGACTGGAATTTGAACTCAGGACATTGCACTTGCAAAGCAGGTGCCTATTGCTTGAGTCACACCTCCAGGCCATTTTGCTCTGGTGATTTTTGGAGCTGGGCTCTCATGAACCATTTGCTTGGGCTGACCTTAAACCGTGATCCTCTGGATCTCAGTCTCCCAAGTAGCTAAGATTCAGATGTGAGCCGCTGGCACCCAGCTGAGTCCACTCTTTATTTTTTTTTAATTTTTATTTTATTCATATGTACATACAATGTTTGGGTCATTTCTCCTCCCTTCCCCTCACCCCCTCTGTTCCCCCTCGCCCGCTACCAGGCAGAAACTATTCTGTCCTTATCTTTAATTTTGTTGAAGAGAGAGTATAAGCAATAATAGGAAGGACCAAGGGTTTTTGCTAGTTGAGATAAGGGTAGTGATACAGAGAGCTGACATGCATTGATTTTCCTCTAATTACCATTTCATCTTCAAGTTCTGAGATTCTGTCTTCTGTTTGTTCTATTCTGCTGGATTGGCCTTCCGTTTTGTTTTGCAGTTCTGTTTTGTTCTTTTTTCTGAGGTTTTCCATATCCTGAGTTGTTTCCTCTTTAATGTTGTCTATTTTCGTCCTGAGTTCATTTATCTCTTTATTAATCATGTTCTTTGTTTCACTTTGGTATTTATACAGTGTTTCTATGGTTTCTTTTATTTCTTCTTGTGCTTTCTCAAATTCTCTATTTTTGTTGTCTTGGAATTTTTTGAGTGTGTCCTGTACATTTTGGTTAACCACATCCAGTATCGTCTCTATAAAATTCTCATTGGTTACTTGGAGGATTTCTTCTTTCAGATTCTTCTTGTGGGCTTCTTTGGGTTCTTTGACATAGTTTATCTTCGTTTTGTTGCAGTCTGGATCTGAGTATCTGTTTTCTTCATTTCCCTCTGGTTCCTGTACTAATTTATTACTGGGGGAAACTGGTTTCCCTCTTTTTTCTGTCTTCCCATCATTGCCCTTGCTATTGTTATTGTCCCTGTACTGTGTGCAATTTAAGTATTTTCTAGCTTGTAATAATAACTATGGTGATATCTAGAATGGAAGGGTGAGAGGAGAGGGAAAGCAAAGAAGGTAAAGAAAAAGGGAAAAACAAACAAATAAAAAACAAAACAAACAACAAAAAAACAGTGTCAAAGAAATAAACAGGGAGAGATAGTGTACTAATCAACAATAAGCTAAACAGACATTAGAGAGACAAAGAGAGGATAAAAAAAAATCCCCAAGTTCAAATGCAACAGAGTTTCAGTCTTAATAATTTTGGTGTTAGTCCCTCAGCCTCCAATCCTGCAGATGGTGTTTCAGAAGTAGTTCTGTTATTGTCTCATCAAAGGGGGAAACAAAACAAAACAAAACAAAAAAAACACAACAAAATATCCCAAGTTCAAATGCAATACAGTTTTAGTAAGTCTTTCATCGTGCAGTTGTAGTTCAGTCATTGTCTCATCAAAGAAAGAGAAAAAGAAAAAAAAAAAAGAGTCTGAAGACAGTTCTGTGAATGTCTATCTGGGGCTGTGGCTCACCTGCCCACTGCTGTCAGCCAGCTGTTGCTGGAGGCTTTATTGATTGCAGATCTCAGGAGTGAGCTTAACACTCACCTGGCCCCTCAGGCTTTGTTTACTTAGAGTTCTCCTGGGTATGACCGCCACTGTTATAAGCTTTCCCTTTTCCAAGCACACTGGGGGGAGGTGGCGCTACACCTGCCTTCTCTGACCGGCTTGTTTATTTACAGTTCAGTGAAGGATTGCTCCTCCCCCCCTTTGGTACTCAGGGTGCCCTGCCCTCTTTGCTATGTGTCTTTTTTGTTGTTGTTGTTGTTTGATTATTCAGTTTGGTTTTGGTTTTGGCTATGCGAGGGCTGGGGGTGTGGAGGAGGAGTCCGAGTTTTGCCTCCTCTCGGTGGTTTTTCCTGTAAGGTGTGTCTCCAGCGTCTCTCCAAGATTTTATTTTAGGAAGCACGCTTCCTGCTTCCTCCCTCTAGTCGCTATCCCTGAGTCCATGAATTAAAACACAAGTTAGATCACATCACCTTTCCTGTAAAACCCCTTTCAGTGGCTTTCTGCTGTGGCCTTCAGATACCTGCCAATACTACCCTATCTTTCCCCTAATTGCACACCCTACTTCTGTCTTCTTGGCTCACCACACCAAACTGTGGCCTCTTGCTTCTGAGCCTCTGTGGGGGCTGTGCCCTGCCTGTCTCCAGACCAGCTGTTCTCTCTTCATTCTGGGCACAGCACAGTGGCTTCCGTACCTAAAGAAGAGCCACTACATTCCCTCATTTTCTTGATCTCACATCCTGCTCATTTTATACTCACGGTCACTAGCTGAAATGACCTTGTTTATTGGTTTGTGGGGTTTTTTCCTTTTTCCCCAACAGTTACATAAGTTGCATGATGAGCAGGAGGAGATAGCATAGGGGAATGGTTTCTACTTTGTGTGTTTCAGTCTGTTTTGGCCATGAGAATGTGCTTTGCAGACTTCAGACTAAGGGTCTCAGCTGCTGTGCAGCTTTGAAAGTGCACAGGCTTTCCCCTAATAAAATGCTTACGTATTTCATCCCATTTTGGCAACTTTTTCTCAGAAGACCTTGTCTAACCACAAGTGGTACCAAGAGTGGTCCAGGAAAACAGGCAGTCAGAAGGGGCTTTGGAATTGGCTTGCTCATAGCCTGGAAGATGGAGGAAACACTGATCTGGTTGATAGGTGGGCACAGATTGTCCCTGACTTGGGGTGGCAACTCAATTGCTGAAGATGTCTTTGGTGGTGACCTGAGAATATGTCCTGCTGGAGACAAACATCTGAACAATATGGGTGCAGTGTTTACAAACATGGCAGAGTGGGCTGCTTGCAGATAAGTTGTATTGGCATTGTAGAAAGATAACAAGCGACTGCTCAGTATGTGTGTCAGAGAGCCTCACGGTGGCTTGAAAACGAGTGTTATCTTCTCACACAACTGTGAGAGGCAAGTCAAAGAATCTGATTGCGAATCTGAAATGCTTCAGGGATTTTTGAATACCCAGCCAAGCCAGGTCTAGTTTGTGAAGGGCAGGGACCTTCTGGGGAAACCTGGGACAGGGACTTTGAGGTGAAGGTCACTGGGGATTCTTGACCTGCAAAAGTCCAGACCCTCTGAGATTTCAGAGGTAGCCCAGCCTTCCCCATCACGTGCTAGTGCCACAGCTGCTGGAATGTGCTGCTGAACACCGTGAGGTGTCATGTGGTAAGAGGTGAGGCATCAGGACTGGCCTCACCTCGTTTCTAAGCTGAGAATTGGAGTTAAATCCCAGCTAAAGACATTCTGAGCTGACAAAGGGGAAGAGACTGTACATACACTGTACACACATGCATGCGCACACACACATGCACACACACACATACACTCACACTTGCAAGAAGTAGATGGCATGTCCAGGCAGGCTTCTGGTGAATACTCCCAGTGTTGGACTTTTAGAAGGTGCTTGATCAAAGGGGCCGGAAGGCAATCTGGATAAGCAAGAATTCATTGAATAGAGTGTGGATCCCTGGAACATGGTATTCTCACCTCACAAAGACTTCAGGAAATGGTCACAGTCATTAAGGATGGTTCTTAGAAGGCTGGAAGAAATAATGGCCAACACTCAACAGGTGGAAGTGCTGGAGTTGCCTTGGTAGGTTGCAGAGGAAGGAATAAGGAAGCTGAGGAAAGTGGGCCTGCTGGAATGGATGTATTTTGTAAGGTCAAAAGATACACGGGAGGAACATTTTCCATGGGAGGCCTCAGTGGATTTACCATTTATCAAGGCTGTGAGGATGGCATTGGTGACAGGGCTGCTAGCATCACTGACAACCTGGGAGTGGCTCTCCTCTGTGGCATAAATGGTAGAAAGGTTGTCACAGATCTGGGATCATAGGAATGGTGGGGTCCCCAAAACAGAAAAGGCCAGGTGGCAGCAGTTAGCTGTCCCAGGCCAGGGGATGCCACTGACAAGGTCAGAGGGACAGCCAAGGGGCTGATTAGCAGGGATTGTGGACGTGGATAATTAACAAGGTATTCTTAGGAGCAAAATAGATGGACAGCCAACATGGATGCTGCTCAACCACAGCAAAGCAAAAGTGGAGAAGTAGGAGGAAGGGGGACACTCCCATAAAACCTTGCAATCTCTTGCTCAGCTCCCAGGACTGAGCCACTATTCAGATCTGGAACCTATTGTTTAGGGGTGGCAAGGTTCACAGGAGAAAGGACCTACAAAAATTTTTCCAGTTCTTCCCACAGAGACCTATGGCTATTTATTCAAGCAACTGTCCACTGGGGAAAGGAAATAACCAGATGTTTCAAGATCTATTGGATTAACATTCAACCCAAAAGACCTAAACTGTGACCACAATACTCCTTATAGATCCAGGGCTTGTGAGTAAGAATTAAGTCATAAATGGAGCCTGGCCAAAGTCTAGCTCACAGTGGCCTCACTGGGTCTGTGGACCCATTCAGTGGTCATTTTCACTGTCTCCAAGAGCACTTAAATATTGATATATTTGGCAGTTGGAGTAAGTATCATATCGGGTCCCAGTCTACAGAGTAAGAATGATCAAGAAAAAAAGAAAGCCAGGCATGGTGGTACACACCTGTAATCACGGCACTCAGGAAGCAGTTGTAGGAAAGGCCAAGTGAAAATATCCAAAATGCCTTCCCTCTTGTCTCCACCAAGGTAATACATAAAAAATAATATCATATTCTGGAGCAGGATAACAGGATGAGAGGGACTGATACCATTGTTAAAGACGTAGAAAGTTCCTAGTAATCTCTCTATTTAATTCATTCGTCTGGTCCTTGCAGAAGCCAAACGTACCCACCCTGAAGAATGATGCTAAATTCTCACAAGTTGCAACTTGCTTTCAAATGGTTCAGAAAAAAATGTCAGTGTATGGGTGTTAGTGTGGATGTGTATAGATTATTGATCAATCCAAACTCTCACCAACTACAAAAGTAAAAAAAAAATAGGACTTTATTTGAAGTCTTAGGAATTGTAGTTCAGGAGACACCAATTTAGGAAGCTGTAAGTCAGAGTTCCTAGGAAGGCAAAAAAAAAAAAAAAAAAAAGCTTACATGGACTACTGAACATTGAGAGGAATGCAAACTACATGACCAATAGGAGATAATGAAGAGAATGTATAAATGGAATGGAAATGGCCACAAAACAAGAGTCCAATGCCCTCTCGATATGCATCTTGAGCCTCTGTGCACAATGTAATTGGTCATTCAGGTCATTTGAGATGCCTGTGGTCAAAAGGTGACAGTAGCCAGAGTCTACATTCCTGGGCAGCAGCAGAATGGTGTACAAGTCCTGCTTCCTAATGGATTCCCAAGTCCAATTCAAAAAGTTCTTTCAAGGTTATTTTCATATTTTTTCTTTTTACTTCACAACATTGGTGGCTAAGTAGGTAGGTGGATGTAAGAGATAAAGCAAACATGATAAAAAGCGTACATACTGGGAAATCTAGTTGATTACTGCTATTCTTGCAACTTTTCTATTAGTCTGAAGTTATATCGGAACAAAACAGTTAAAAATTGTGGCAGGGTGGAGAAATGACCCAAACAATGTATGCACATGTGAATAAACAAACAAACAAACAATAAATAAATAGAATGAGAAAAATTATGTTATTTTTGGATAGATGATTTAGGCAGATGGTGTAAAATTCAAGACTCAAGAATATTCATTAAACAGTTCATTCCTGTCTTTAAGTTAGCAACCTTTCTTTTTCTTCTATTTTTACACAAATGATGGAATAGCAATTTTACATCTTGTGTGTTTCACTCATGTTAGCACACCAACATATCTATAGCTCTGTCTCATTCTTTTCTTTATTATTATATTATTGTTGTGCTGGAGGTACATTGTGACATTTACAGAAGTGCTTACATTGTATCTTAAATTCACCCTGTCTCATTCTTTTTAATGGTTACATAGTAATTTATTGTACAAATGCATGTGTATTTAACCATCTAATCAGCTTGCTGTTTCCAACAATCTGACAATAAATTTCCTTAATTTCACACATCATTTCAAATATCTGTAAGTATACCTCTAGGTGAAGGTCAAGAAATAGTTTTGCTAGTTAAAGATTTTAGGAATTGGAAATTTTGATTAATATTGCCAAAGGACTATGCATACTGATCCTTTCAATTTTTTACTTGAAAGAGTAATACATGTTAATATTGTAACCAAAGGCCTAGGCCAGAGGCCCAACTCCCAGGGTTCCAATAGCTCAGGTTTGGACACTTGCCCCAATATGCGAAATAAAAAGATGAGTAGCAGTTAAGGTCAGAGAAAGGAGGTTTATTACAAAAGGAGAGCTTGCCACAGGAAGGGGCAAGGTAAGTAACTTCAGCCCATCTTCATGGCACCTGACATGAGCTTTAGGTTAAAACAGAGGAACAATCGGGCAGAGGGTAAGCAGTATGTATAATTAAGCAGTCCCAAGTGAAGTGTGGCCAGGGTGGTCCTTGTCTCAGTTCTGATTCTGCATGGGGTTCTAGAGAACTTGTTATCACTCGAAGGGGACAATCTGGTTGCCATGAGATGATTGCTCCTGCTCCAGGGTGCAGCCTCATCCTTATAGGTAATTGTCTTCATTTTGTTAGGTTCTGTTGTTCCTTTCCTTGGGGGCCTTTTCAGTTCCTTTAAATAAAGATGTTATTGATCAGTGCTGTCCTTCCTGAAACCCAAGGTGATTATAGGAGAGAAACTCAGAGCAGAGGAGACAGATGTAAACTGGAGGGAGGGGTACCAAGCTTTTATCTTGCCTTTCGTTAACTTATGAGCCCAGGCAAGAAGTCAGTGATTTTAGCAAAAGCACTTTTGGAGGATTTTATTTTGCCTGGGAGCCACACCATCAGTCCTTTATGCTTTAGTTATTTTCCAAATAGGGTTTTGCATTTGTGTTTTTTGCCCAGGTTGGCCTGGATCACAATCCTCCTGTTTTATGCCTCAGGTGTAGCTGGGATGACAGGCATACACCATCGTGCCCAGCTTATTGGTTGAAATGGGAGTCTCACTAGTTTTCTTCCCCTTGGCAGCTTCAAACTACGCCTCTAATTACAGTGTAGTAAATTTTTTTATATTTGCTAATATGACAGCTGAACTAGAATATATCACAATATTGTACTTTTAATTTATATTTCGTTTAGTTTGAAGTTAATTTTTTTGCATTTATTTACCTTTCCTATTCTGAGAACGTCTCATATTCTTTGACCTTTAACTTTACTAATTTCTTCCTTTTGTTTTCCTCATGTTTATTTTTGTATTTTTTTCTAACCGTTATTTGACGTTTACTATAATTTTTTCATATGAGCCCTGCTTCAGATATTTTAAGTAAGCATCTTCATGTAGTGTTTACATTTATTTTTCTAGCTAGTCGGCAACTTTGGTTTTGACTTCCTCTTTTTCCCGATAGACCATTTATTTTTAGTGATGGTTTTTAGTTTTTTACCTTACTTATTTCATTCTTGAGAACACTGCAGAATTTTGAGTATAGCTCTTCTACCCCGTGACTTGCAGCTTTCATGAGAAAGGAGTATTCTGCTCCCTGAAGCGAACCAGCGAGCAAACGAACCCCACGGGCCGCGGGGACAAAGCCGGAGGCTGGGGACTGAGCACTCTCCCGGAAGGCGCAGATTCCAGGGCGGAAGAGGAGGCGGCCACGCTCCCCTGTGGGCGGGGGCCGGCCGACCAATCATCGCCATCCAAACTCTACTCTGCTCTTTGATTGGCTTTCGCGGAGACGCCCCCGCCTACGCCAGATCCTACGGTGGCCAGCCGAGGACAGCAGGCTCACCGGGCGGAGGACAGGGTTTGTGTGTGTGGCGCGAGGGACGACGCAGCGTCTTACCAACCAGCACCGCGACTCTCGGGACATGGCGGTGGCCTCGGCCGTGTCAGCGCTGCTGGTGGCGGCGGAGAGGAACCGGTGGCAGCGTCTCCCGGTCCTGCTGCTGCCGCCGAGGTAACGGTGCGGAGAGGGGTGGTGATGTGCGCCCCAGGGCCAGGGCCGGGGGTGCGCGGACCTCGGGAGCTGTGCGGGTGCGGAGGGGCGCGGGGTGCGTGGCCGCAGAGCGCTGAGTAAAATCCCCAGCCCCATTCCCGCGGCTCTGCAGTCGGGAAGGAGACGGCCGCAGCAGCCTTTCCCACATCCACCCTTCAGTCCCCTTTGGCTTAGTTTTCCATTTAGGAGGATTGGGGGAGAGGCTGAGCTTGGCCTGCCGTCCTCCTGCGCCCTCCCCTCAACGCTGTCTGGCGCTGCTTTCGCAGCAGTGTTTGTGTGGGAACGTTGTGACAATCCCAGGTCTGATGAAGCTCAAGACGACCAAGATTACACAACTAGTAAGAAGTGGGACCAGGACCCCTCAAAGTCTGTTTCAGTTCGCCTATCCCCCATCATGTGTCTAGCACAGAGAAAGACCCCAAGATTCTCTCCCATTGTTGAAATGAATTAAATTAAGAGCAAATTTAACTTCCAGAGGGCTGGAAGCTAAAAGAGTTTTGTCAAAAGCTCTTTTACGTAAATTTGAACTAAGTTATCACATGACTTAAGTCTAGTAACCTGCCTTCAGATCCATTTCAAATTCTGAGCTCTAAGCTTCAGTAACAGTAACTGGCAGTGAAGACAACTTCAGTCTTGCAGATAGCTTGCTTCTTTATCTTCCTTGGCTTCTTTGTTACCATGGCCCTCCATCATTCTGCAGAGACAGTGTAGTTTAGCACCTAAGGACATAGATTGCAGTCAGAAGGCTGGGGTCTAACTTTAGCTACTCACTAGTTGTAGAGCTGAGTTATTTAATATCTCTTACTTGAATTTCCTCACCTAGGAAGAGATGAGGACACTAGTATCTTGAACTAGTTCCCTTAGTTTTGCAAATTAACACATGGAAAGAAGTTTAAATAGAATATGGCCCATATGAGACAATCCATAAGCACAGATACTGCAGACCTAACCGTTGAAATCAACTTCTTGTTTGCTTTCATTGTAGATACTTTGGATTTTCAGTTATAGGCTAGCCTAAAGCAAAATAAACCTTAGTGAAAGTCATATTAGGGTTCTACTCTTTTTTGTTACTTTTCTTAGGTTCTCAGGGCTCTTCAGGATACTATCTCAGAAACACCTTCTCTCTTCTCTCTCAAAGCTTACCTGTTATCCATAGAATAATTCTCAGGTAACTGTCACCCTGGAGAGTGTTAGATCTGTTAGTGGTTTATAGAAGTAAAAAATTTTATCAGTCTGAGGTCTTCATGTTTCTTTTTATACTATGATTCTAATAGCTCAGAGGAAACAGTCTCTAGTGGAGGGATTATAGGCACAAGAATAGAAACTACCTCGAATCAGAATATAACTACCTTATGGAAGCAACTTCTTATTGCCACTTTTCAAGTTGTAGCTTAGATAATTGTGAAAAATGGGTTAGACCGATCAGACATTATTGAGATAGTGAGTTATAGTTAAGTGGGGTGTATGTGTGTGTGTATTTTTTTCTCGCTCTATCTTTACTAGAAAATGATAGAAGAGAGCTTCATGTTAACAAGGGTCACAGAACTAAATAGGAGTTTTAAGCTAACTTTATCAAGAAGTAGCCATTTAAAGACACATCTGTCCCCATATAGGCCTTAAATCTTACCAGAAACTTACCTGAAGAGTACAAAGGGAAGAAGATGCTACAAGCTAGAAAAAAGATTAGAAAAGATGATTTCCCTCTTTGAAGATTAAAGAAGTTAGATCAGCTGATTTGGGAAGGTTGGGAGAGGAGTAGCCTCCTGCGGAAGCCATCTGTTGGAACTCATGTGCCAAAGCTGTGGTTCTTTCTAGTACACTTCATGGATGGCAGAATCTGATTGAGTATATACATCACAGGGCAATGAGAGTACAAACCACTATAGTCACCCTGTCTCCTACTTGTCAGCCCCCAAAAACTAGTCCTGCTCAGTGCATAGTTATATACTATGTATATATATACATACTGCTATACAGTTACACAGTATCTAATATTCACTGTGTGATTTTTATCTTATGTTTTATGATGGATTAAAATTGTCAGTCTTTATAACCATGGTTTTGCCACATCTTCCAGCTGGAAAAGTCTAAGGTGAAATTGATTCTGCAATTTGTTGGTTTCCCATTGACACAGATTAGAAGGACCCACTGTTAATTAACTGTTGATATCAATAGCAGTCCTCATTAGAAGCACTCCTTTTAATGTTTATTCTTCCTTTAGATAGCTAAGATGTTGGGAACCAGGGCAATTTGACTCCCTAAATGACAATTAGACCCTTCCCTGGCTGCTTTAGGTGAATTGTCAATGGAGCAGCTCCTTTACTGGCAACTGGGTGGACTGCCCTCATAGTGACTAGCTGTTTTGGACACTATGCAATCACTATGAGGACTGCTATGACCATGGCTGAAGGCATGCTCCAGACAGCCTACACTGGCCTGGGAAAGCAGCACTCTAAGCAAGATAAGCCTCTGAACTCTAGGTGACCCTGCAGCTGTTACCACTCAGGCCAGAAGGGGAGCACTTCCTCTGATGCCCAGCAGATCTGTGCAAATGCAGTCCTTGATTTACATGAGAGACTGTGCCATGATTGGTGCAAACATCCTTGCCACACCCCTCCCTTTCTAGCTGTGTAAGCAAGCTGTGTGCCTCACTTTTCCAGTTGGGAAACACTCTTCTGTTCTGCCCCCTGGTGTTGTAACATAAGACCTAATAAAAGGCTTTTCTCTCTGGTAGTCTTTTTCTTGCCCACTTTTGATCTTTATCATTAGTAAAGTTCCCTGAGCTGTTAACATGAAGAGAAGATGGCAGGAGCAGGAGCAGAGCAGTGATGGCAGCAGTGACAGAGGCAGTGGTGGGCACCAGCAGCAGTGATAATAGCAATGAGAGAGCAACTGAAGAGTTCCAGAGAATAGCTGGGAAGAAATGACAGGGAAGAAAACCCTGGAGCAATGAGGGCAGTAAAGAGCTAAAGACATGAAACTGTTGGCCCTGGTCCTTGGAAGCATTCCAGGGAGCTTCCAAGTCTTAAGGGCCAAGGGTCTCAGATCCTTTAGAACCAAGAGCTATGCTGCTGTCAAGGACTGAGGATCCTGACACCCTAGGCCTGAGAGCTGTAACACTTGTCTCTGTGGGACTGAGGGTACCAGTACCAGAGGCCTGTTCAAAAGTTATAACACTAGCAGCTGCCTGCTGCTACTTGCCACTCACTGTTGCTAGAAGCCGAGGATTACAATAGCTGCCAAGCGCCACAGCCCCTGGTGGATAAAGCCCAGAGCAATAAGCCACCAATCTGTGTGCTTAGATTCATAGGTCTCTGGCTTCTAAGGCCTGGAGCAATAGGCTCCTAGCTCTTAGTAGTTGGAGCTGTAAGCTGCTGGGTCTGCCAGTCCAGCCCTAGGCCTTGGGCACTAAAGGGCCTGGAATTGCCAGGATTGGAAGGGCTTATCCCACAACACCTATGTGGGTAGAGCAAAAGGACCCCAGCCGCTGATTGGCAACACCAGCAAGTCCTTTTTAGCTGAAACCTAATAGATCTTAGACTTTTTTGTTCCCAGAGTACATCTGGCCTGTTTTTTGTCAGCTCTTGGATGGTGTTTCAGTGTTGACTTATTGTATAAATGGGTATCATGCTACTTAAAATTGTTGTAGACCTTCACTGTCTTCCACCTAGTTAAGACACTTCAAACAAGTCATCTACCTTCCCATTTCTTTTAATACAAGAACTTGGAAAAACTGTATACTTTAAAAACTGAGAAGTATCTTCAGGTTCATGTCAGACAGTCTTCTCTCTTGTGTGAGAACACTGGATCTAAGCTGTATCTCCATATATCCCCAGCTGGGATGATACTGCCCCGTAAGGTTCTTGAGGGAGTGAAAAAAAATACTAGATATTATCATGATTTGTAACACTCTAAAGCTCAACGCTAGCTATGAAATCTCTTTCCTTAGTATTTAAGTTTTTTTTATTGGGAGGGAAATAATGAAAGAGAGATTATGAAAGTGATTGATGTAAAGTGACTTGACCTCAGGCAAGCTCATCAATGCAGGGTCTCAGATAAAAACTCAGGTCTTCTGGCCCCACAGCTGGCATTTTTTCTTGCTGCTGCCCCTCCTTTCAGCTTACTTCCCTTTACTTCTCTGTCTTAATATCAAACCTGTCTTATCAAGGGTTGAATTTGATTGGTAGTTTGACTAGCATATTTTATTTAATGAAATAGAGCAGTATCAAAATGCAAGGTGAGTCATCTTTCATGACACTTGTAATTGTCTGTGTACTGGTTCGTTTTTGCTGTAAGGTGTAGTCAAAAAAGTTTGAAAAAATCAGAACCAGATGATCTTGAAGAACCTTGACTGTTTAATTGCCTGGTCAAATGCCAGCCTCAGGTGTTAAACAGGTTAGGTGACTCATTCAAGGCCTTGTAGTGCAGGGGAAAACAGCCATATCTCTTAACTCTTGATTTCTACATTTATTTTCTTTCCACAAAGAAAATCTTGCTAAATCACTTTGTTAGTGGGCTTAAGGTTTACCTTAGGTCATGTCTAGACTTGGTTTCACATTTTTAAAATTTTAGATTCTTTTGAAAGAACAATGATCATGTGTATTCTAATTAATTATAATTCCATTTGGATTTGTTTTATAGGAAATGGACTTGGAGACAAAGAACTATGAAGTATGCGACAACCACAGGTACAACAGACTTCTTTATGCTCTGGCTTTGCTTCAGGTTGTGAACTGAAATAGAGAAATGTTTAGTCCTTAATTTGCACACAACAGAGTTAGTTCTAATAAACCTGTGGTGTTTTTTCATAAAATTTTCTTACTAATTATTAAGTCATGGTTTTCACCCCTTTTATATCAAATCCCTCTAAAATTTAGAGGATAATAATGAAGGATATTTTATATTTATGTTGTTATTTTCGTATGTTTAACTCTTCTAGTATATTGGATTGGAAAAGCCTAACTATGATAGTCTATATCAGTGCTTTTAAAATAATTCTTTTGGAGCTGGTGGAGTGGCTCAAATGGTAGCACCTGGCAGCAAGCACAAGGCCCTGAGTTTAACCCCCAGTGCCATCAAAAAGTAAAAACTAAAAATAAATGAATAAAAGTTCTTTTAAGTAGCAGAATTTTTTGTTTTTGTCAAATAGAATTTTACATGGAATTCCCAACTATAATACTAGAACATATACTTTCCTTAAAAAAAAAAGTATAACTTCTGATTGAATGTAACTCCCTACTTACCCCACCCCCAGACACACACATAAATACTGGATTCCAGCAGCAGCAGCCCCTGTGATAACTCTTGAGCTATATAGCTCACCACTGAAAAACACTCTTTTCAATTGTAGGAAACCTCATATTTTTAGAATAACTTTATTACAAACTGTCAAAGAACCTTGCTTCATATGTGATGATGGATGTCATTATGGCACCAATGGCAGTAGTCATTTGTATTGCAAGAGAACCACATAGCCATGTGTACATCCGGATACAAGCAGTGGGACAAAGTAACTCAGGGCTCAGATTTGGGAGTGAGGAAGACTTCAAAGTCTCCATCAACCACTTTTAGTTATAAATCTGGGGAAGTGATATCTCTTTCTGCCTGAGTTTCTTCATCTTTAAAAACTAAGATAATAATAGCAGTATCAACCACTGGACCCCCATATGTATGAGTTCCAAATCTGTGTGTTCTACATTTGTGGCATTAACAAACAACTGATTTCAGAAAAATAGCATCTGTACTACATGAACAACTAGTTACATAGCATTTCCATTGTGTTATCTTATTTATTAATCTAGATGTGGTTTAGTTTATTTAGATGTGTTAGCTTATTTAGTAATCTAGATGTGGTTTTAAAGTATAACAGAGGATGTATGTAGGTTACACGCAAATACTATGCCATTTTATATAAAGGATTTGATCCAGAGATTTTTGTATCTACAGAGAGTTCTAGAATTAATCCCCAAGATACCTAGGAACAACTATTTCATTAAGATTAATGTAAGAATTGAAGTCCAGATTTAGTCTTTACCTAAGGCATAGAAGGTGCTTATTAATGATTAGTTAGTATTAAGTATGGTGATTTTTAAGCTATTATAATTTTATCTTTGACATAACAAAGCACCTTTTAATCTTATTTTAAGTTGAAAAGTTTAAGAGTAATTGAAGAGTTTATATCAATAGAGGTATCTTGAACCTCAATGAAGAGATAAGAATGTACTATCTAATATTAAATGGTAATTTTAGGCTCCACTATGCTGATTTTGCAAAAAAAAAAAAAAATCCTTGTCAGCTGGCTAATAATACATTCTCATTTTCATTTCTTGCTCCCCAGTAACATTTGTATATGATCTTCATGGTATTTTAAACAGGAAGAAATATTACCAAGGTCCTCATTGCAAACAGAGGAGAAATTGCCTGCAGGGTGATACGAACAGCAAAAAAAATGGGTGTACAGTCTGTGGCTGTTTTCAGTGAGGCTGACAGGAATTCCATGCATGTAGATATGGTAGGTTGTTAAAAGCTGGAAACCAAGTCTTGTAAGTGATCACGTTTATTTGTTTACTTTGTCAGTTTTTGTTCATTCTTTATGATGACAATTGATGTTTGCTATAGCTAACAGTTTAAGTATTTAAGTTCAAACTGCTCACTAATTCCCCTTGGGAAAATTTTATAATACCAGTTGAACTGAATAGCATGTTTAGTGGCATAGCTAATTTACAGGCAAAGTGCTTATCTCATCAAGGGTTGGTTAAAACAGTTCACAGAGCACGACTGATCCTTAGATCTTTGAGTAGCACACGTCCAGATCTTTGATATACAAGGAGAGTGATCAAACCCTATTGTAATAATTACCACTTACTGGCAGTGTGATTTCAGACAAGTCATTTCATGTTTCTGAACCTTGATTTATCTGTAAAATTCTAACTAAAAAGGCCCAACTCCCTTTTGATGCTTTAAGTTATTACTAGCTCTTATCTACCAGATAGAACTCCAACCATGGCTGAATCCAACTGTCAGCCTTCATTATGATTGCAGTAAGACTCCAAGCACCAGCATAAATTCCTGGGGACCAGCTTCATTGGCCTGGGCTTTGCTTACTGCACAGTAGGCCAATGCAGCTCTCTAGCTACTTCTCTTTCCAAGTCTGTGCAGTGGCTCTTTCAAACTTGTTTTGCTTCATTCCAACCTCTCATTCTTCCTCTACCCACCTGTCCCTAGCTGATGATCTTGATTTCACAGAGAAAATAGAGTTGTGCTTCCTGCCACAGAATCTGCTGACCTGTATACATCTGCATCCATCCTCTTCCCAACTTGGACATCCACTGTCCAGGCTCTTCTTGTTTTTTAAAGAATTCTCCTGGGCTGGGGGTGTAGGTCAGTAGCAAAGCATGTGACTAGCAGGCACAAGGCCCTGGGTTCAATCCCCAGCACCACACACAAAAAAGAATTTCCCCAAAATAGCTAAGACCATAAATTTCAAATGTCTCACTGTGTAAAAATGATAGTTAAGCTAGGTAAAGAATATGCTTGTTAATTTGATTAATTCTTCCACATTTTATAATACACCAAAACATCACATTGTACTCTATGCTATATAATTATGATTTGTCAATTTGAAATATTAATAAAGAAACAAATAGAAGGATATATTCCTAGCTCAAAAAAAGTCTTCCATTTTCAGTGATATGTCTTTAGTCACTCTCCACTGAATCCTTCCTAAAAGTATTTAAATACAGTATAGTCTCTCCATCTTCGGAACTACTACTTGCCCCACATTCCCCTCCCCCGTTTATCACTTTTTCCCCCCCGTTATTGCTAATTTAAGAGTCATTTTCCCTGTTCTTTTCTCTTTCTTGCCTCCCATTCTCTTCTCAACCTACATCTGTTGAGTTTAGCATTGCTCCATTGACACAGTCTCTGCTAAGGTCATTAATGATGTCTGTATTCCTAAATCTGAAGAATTCTTTTCAGGCCTGAGTTGACTTGACCTCTCAGCATCATGGCATCATTTAAATTCTTCTTGTGGCTTGCAGACCTCTGACCCTTCTGTCCTCTCTCGGTGTCTTTTTTCTGGACCCCATCCCTCTTAATGAACTTCAACCCTTAATGTTGAAGTTCTTCAGGACTTGATCCTTCACCCTCTTTTCTCACTGTATATTCTCATTCTAGCTCATTTCACCTATTCCCATGACTTTGTGAAAAACTCCCAAATTTCTGTTTCTAGTCTAGACTTTTTTTTGAGCATGACACATGGATACCAGCTGTCCACTCCACATCTCTACTTTGATGTGACACAGGTAGCAAACCAATATATTTGATATTGAACTCTTAATGTCTTATCTAGACTAAACCTGGTTTTCTTGCAGATTTCCCTCCCCAGTAGCTGACAAAACCCTTGCTTATAAAAATAGTAATGGCTAGCAATCTGGGTATCTTTGAACATCTCTCTCTATCTTTCTACTCTATATCCTTCACCTTCCTGATCTAGAAAATCATTAAGTGCTGGTAATTCTACTTCCCCAGCACTTCTTCCCAGTTCTTCCTGCCCTCACTAAAGTAGTCGCCCTACTTCCACTCTTGATTCGTCCTGCAATCTATTTCCTGCATTTTGGTAGACTGGTAGTTAAAATTAAAATTTGGTCATATTATTCCTTTGCTTTAAATCTTTATGTGACCTGCTAGATTAGGAATAATTTAAAAGATAGATAACAATCAGTGTTTATGAGGGTGGGTAGAAATTGATATGCTGATACAGATAAATATTGGTGAAGCCATTTCAAGGGCTCATTAACCAGGTGGCTATATCCTTCAGCCCAGCTCTGCACACATTCCTCTAAATCCATGTCTCAGAGTCATGCTCACACACATATGCAAGTAGAGGTATGCAAATAGAGGTACAGATGACAACGTTTGCTTCAGCCTTGTCCATATCCATTTTTTTGCCACTGCAACCTAAGTGCACATGAAGAGGTTAGTGATTAAATAAACTATGGCACCTCCATACTGTGGAGAGTTATGCAACTTAATACAAAGTGAGGTAGGCATATGTATACTAGCAAGGAAGCTGCTCTCAAAGTAAACCATCAATGAGAAAAGCAACTGCAGAAGATAACTGTGCAGCATGATTCTATTTCTGTACATATGTATGGATAAATAGGAATATGTATATGAAAACATATGTCCCAAATTGGTCATAGTAGAAAGTGTGGAAGGTGTGAAAGGAACAGGCAGTGCCAAAGGCTACTACTTTGTCTTTGTATTATTGTTCACATTCTTTTGAATGAGAATGGACTTGTGTTTTCTTTTGAAATTAAGTTAAAAAGAAATTTTTTTTTCAAATCTCATCCTGATGTTCCCTTAAGAGAAAACCCAAAGTTTTTTAACCTCCCCCCCTGACCCTATGAAGTCAGTATCCTATCCTTCAACCTCATCTCTGGGTACTTGACCCCTTGCTCATGTTCTAATCACATAAGTCTCTGGCTTTTGATTAGATGGTCCACATTTTTCCCATCAGGACCTTCATATATGTTGTTTTCTCTGGATGGAAAGCTCACCCAATCTCCATTCCTGTCCTCCATCTGTTTGCTTGGTCAAGTTCTGATCATCCTGGAGGAACTGTTCTCTCCTTGCTTGTTCTGACCACCTTCGTTTTTCCTTCAAGGACTTTATCACAGTTGTCAATGAGTGTGGGAATGCTTAATGTCTGTCCCACCCCCTAGACAGGGGCATGAGTCTTGTTTACTGCTATATAGGCAACTCCTACCTCAAAGCATGACACAAGTAGGCCTTCAGTAAGTCTTTGAATGAGTGAATAAATATTTTCTATCTGGTCTACTTCAGGGGATGCTATGATTATGTGAAAGTTTTAAGGGATAATATAAAATAATTTAAAAATGTCTGGAAGGAGCATTATCATCATCCTCTAATAATTGTATATAATCTTAATGAACTTTGTGATTTTTCTTTGTGCTATTTATATCAGTTGTATATTTTGTGTCTGTTTTGAAATTGCAACTTTTTGGCATTAAATACTTTTAAGATTATTGTTGCTAATAATACCATGAAGAATGACTGTTGCTTTTTTTCCACAAACACTTTCACTCTAGTATGTGGCACCCTGCTCATGCAAAATATTTTAAGACTTGGGCTGGGGGCATGGTTCAAGTGGTAGAGTGCCTGCCTAACAAGCACAAGGCCTTGACTTCAGAAACCCCAGTATTGCCAGCTGTGCTAGCACATACTTGTAATCAACGAGATGCAGAGAATAAGGCAAGAGGATCCTGATTTTGAGACTTGCCTGGGTTGCATTTACCCCAGTCCCACCAGAAGCCCCAACATCACCACCAAAAAAAAAAAAAAATAATAAGATTTTAAGACTTGGCTTATTTTTGTAACATAGACATGAGCTGGTACTTCTGCTTTTCAGCGCCTGCATTGTTCTTGCTCATTGCCATTTTTTATTCTGATGCCTCTTGTGTGTAGCATTTTTATTTTTAATGATAAAATGACCCTGAAGCAGTTTGTGTTGTGTGCAAGTGTATACCAGCTGTGTCATCTTTTAAGCACATCATCTTTCTTAAACAGGCAGATGAGGCATATTCCATTGGCCCGGCTCCCTCACAGCAAAGCTACCTGTCTATGGAGAAAATCATTCAAGTGGCCAAGATCTCTTCTGCACAGGTAAGATGTGCAAAGTATTGCAATGCAAAAGGAACATGTTGTGTGCAGTTTATGCAAAATTACTTATTTGAAGAACTTATTTTCTATTTTTTAGCCAAGATTTTTACATTTGATTATTGAATTGTCTTTGTAAACCAGCTACATCCCTTCTCATTCTTCCAGCACTCTGCCTTCTTATTTAGTTCTGTGTACTTTAATTCTTTTTTTTTTTTTTCTGGTGGTACTAGGGTTTGAACTCAGGGCCTCCTCATGCTTGCTAGGCAGGAGCTCTACCACTTGAGCCACTCCGCCAGCAGTCATATGTACTTTAGATCTTTGGGGAAATAGATTCAGGGAGGATCTAAAGTATAACTTAAAATTAATAGAGAATTCAGGTTTTCTTTCTTCAGAAGCAAGTGCTGGGAACATCAGATGCTTTGGGAGAAATAGATGGTGCTCAAATTACAGTGTGAAATATAATCTAAAGAAATCCTTTCCTCTTGACTTTCCAGTCTCATTCCAGGGCCCCACTGTTTTCCCAATATGCCAGGCTCAAAACTTGAATGTTATTACATCTCTCATTCATCTTCAGAATGAAATAGGAGCCAAATTGTATTGAATCTCTCTTTGAACTATTTCCAGAAATAGTTCTCTTTGATCACATAGTCATATTTTAGGATTTTTAATCTAGATTTCTGAGTCTGGGCTGATGTCCGTACTTCCAAATTTCTTACCAGTCCAATCAGATCTCTGTATTCCTAGATGAACATTTCTTAAACACATTTCATTATTATTTCCTAAACCCCTTTTGTCTTAATATCCTTTCTCCTTCCCCATTCTGCCCTTCAGTTAGTAAATCTTCAGTGATTGCAAGGTAAAGTTCAGCCTAGCATTTACAAGAGTTTCAGATATGGTCCCCTTCTATTTGTCAAGACTTGGTTCATCACCAGTCCTTTGTTATAATGAACCTTTCTTCTCTCTTTTACACACCATGCTTATTTCTTCTTCTGTTCATTTGCTTCTATTGTTCCACCATCTGAAATAGTTTCTTCTCCCTTCCCTTTCACTTGTGCCTTTATTTTCTGAACAAACACCAGTTGGTCTCCTGCTTTGTGTCAGCTTCTCAGTGTGGATACAGCAGAGAATAAGAAAGACACAGTTGTAGCTGGTGAGATGGATAAGAAACATTTAAATAAATAAATAATGCATCAGCAGAGTTAGATGTGGTGGGAAGAAAGCAAAGCAGGATAAGGAAATAAAGACTGGGTAGGATGCACTTTTAAATGTGGTCCAGAGCCGACAAATGAACTGAGATCTAAATGATGAGAAGGAGCCAAGCATGTGAGGAACTTAAGGGAAAAGGTTCAGATGGGATTGCCAAGGCTCTGAGAAGAAAACAGACTTGCCATTCAAGGAACAAAAATGTTCACTGTGACTGGAGTAAAGGCAGTGAGAGACTGCCCACTCAGTATAATCAGTAAAACTAAAATTCAATTAGATGTTCCAAGAGAGGGAACTGAGTTTGGTCATCAGTACCGTCAGTGTCAGAGAGCTCAATGGGGAATAAGGTATGTTGAAGTTACCCACTGATAACGACAGAAATCGACAACCATCCCTTGATCTGGGGAAGAGGCAAGAGGAGGTACCTTCTGCAGCTGTTACTCAGCTATGTGAGGGGCCCTACCTAGCTGCAAGGGTCTTACTGAGGCTGGTTGTGGCAGTTCCAAGAAGCTGAAGGCTGAAATCAAGTGCTTTTGCCCAAGGTGGAGGAGTAGGAAAGTTGTCCCTGTGTCCAGTTTCCTAGAGTGCCCCCTGATGTCAGAGCCCCCACCTGGAAGAGCAGAGGAGCCTCATCCAAAGCACAGCATGGAAGGTTGGGTTTGGAGCTGAGAAAATCAACCAACACAGGAAGAAAATGATAGGAAGCAGAGAGAAGTAGGGGTAGCATCATTGAGGACATTACAGGCCTTGACAGGGAGTTTGCCTTTCTCTCTAAGTAGTCTTTGGAAGATTTTAAGCAGGAGAGTGATTGATCTGATTCATATTTTAATAAGATCATTATGGCTGCTGAGTAGGAAATAGATGAGTAGGGTAGGGGCAAAGGCAGGGATGGGAACAATGAAAGCAAGTGAAACAATTAGGAGTTGTATTAGTGTTGTCCTTCACCCCCACCTGAATTTCTGCCTCTTATAAATTCTTTCTTGCCACGTCCAGTCACATTGGTTTCCTTCTTTTCCTTTGTAGTTGATTTCTTCTTCCATTCATGTTTATACTTAATACCTCCCAGCAGCCCAAAGAGCTAGTACACAGAAGGTCCTTTGAATTAATGAATGTGCGTAGTTGTTTTGCATTTATGTGTTCCTGCCTCAGTATTCCTCTTTGTACAATAAAATTCCTAAACGGAATAATTTAGGCATTAATGATAGACACAGGTGTTTAGTTTAGTTTTAAAGGTTGTTTTTGTTTTGTCAGTAGTAGTGTTGTAGGCTTGTGTAGTCTCTGATCAGAAGATTCTCAAATTCTTTGTGTCCCACATGGAAGCATCCAAGCAGGACACATGGGTGTAGTAAGGGAGGTAATGGAGTTTATTAAAAGTTATGGAAAAAGTTACAAACAGCCATAGTGGGCCAGGAATGAGGCGGAAGCAGAGAGTTTCTTCCTCTTTCCAAGTGCTTTTAAAACCTATGCTAACCTGGAAAAAACCTGGTGATTCCTGACCACCAATAATGGATGTGCTGGGAGGGGAATGGGTGGTCCCTGGGCTGAGGTCGGGGTGGTTTGGGATGTCCTTGGGAAAGGGTGTGAATAATATGCACATATTTGCAATTGAAAAGAAGGCTCAGAGAAAGAGAAGAATGTTCAACCTGAAATATAATATTAAGTCATACATTTTAAGAGTCCTGAAGTTTTCCTATCTTATCCTGCCTCAGGAGGGCTTGAACTCAGGGCCTCATGCTTGCTAGGCAGGCACTCTACCACTTGAGCCACTCTGCCAGCCCTAAAGATCTCTTCCTATTTGGAATAAAAGGCCATTAGGAGAGTAAGGAGATGACAATAACATTGACTTCATATAATAAAAATCCAGACACTTTAACATAAATATCACTTTATGTGTTTATTATGTGTTTGAGCATACATGACATGGTATTATTACTTCCATTTCACAGATATAAAATTTAATGCACAGAAAAGGCTCCCTGATAGTATCCAAAAATCATCCAGTGTCTTGCCATTCAGTGTGGTCCATAGACAGCATGTTAGCACCACGTGGAGCTTGTTAACAATGCAGAGACCATAATCCATTGTAAATTAAATGTTTGTGCAATGTCTGCATTTTTATCAAGATCCCCAGGTGATTTGAAATCATTGAAGGAGAAAAGATTAAACAAGTCTCCTGACTCACCGTCCTATTCCCTGTTCACTAGACTAGACTGAACAGTAAATTTCTTGCCCTGCATTTTGGAAAAAGAGAAGGTTATTTAATCAAAAATTGTAACTAATTAAAAATTCTTATTTTAGTGTTGCTTTTTCCTCTAAGCTGCCTCCTTTTTAGAGTTGAAACTCCATTCCCTTTTATTGCTCATTCTCTATAATCATTTACTTTGAGTAACAACCCTCTAGCAAATGTATATCCTAATTCCACAGAATTAATCAATTCTGTACCTATTTGGATTAGTGTTATTTTAGAGTATATGATAACATAATGAGAAAATAATGACTACTATTGAAGTATTAGAAAGTATTTTAAATATACTTTTTACCTGAATATTCCAGATTTCACATGGTTTGCAAAAATTAGAGAGTGATGTAAACAAACAATAAATGAACAAAATGCCAATAATGTGGATATGTGGGGATTGGAATTAAGTCAGAAAACTTATGTCAAGGAAAGCTACTTTTAACTCTTCCTGGTAGCCCTGATCCTAAGGGAAATTCATTGGGTTACAATTTATAGAGCTCTCCCCTTTAATAAAAGAATACTTGCAATGTGGACAGGAAATCTTGTACTAACTTTGACTTTGAAGAAGAATTTATTGATCATTCTAATAAAGAATACTAAATAATGTATGTGTAGGGATTTGAATAAGGTTTTTCTAAAACTAGAGGTGTTCTTTTTGTGGCCATTTTGCTATGGGCCCTTTCATAGGACCTGGATTAAAATTTACAAATGATCTCAATTTCTGGCAATGCCTAGTGAACTAGCTCTACGGAGAAACTTTAGAAGATGCAGAAATGTAAGGGCAGGTGTGTTTGTTAGCTTTTCCATTGTTACTGCATAACAAACACCTGAGGTAATCAACTTAGAAAAGATTTACGGCAGCTCACACTTTTAGAAATTTGAGTCCATGGTCAGTTAGCCCTGGTGTGTTGGGTGAGGTAGCACATTGTGATAGGAGCAGATAGCGAAGCAAAACTGCTCATCTCGTGGCTGGGGAGCAAAAGGCAAAAAGATCAAAGATCAAAAAGGCCATGATCCCACAGTCCCCTTCAGGGACACACCTCCAATGACCTAAAGACCTGCCACTAGACCCTGTCTCTTAAAGTTTCACCATCTCCTAATAATACCGTGGACTGGAGATCAAGCCCTTGACACCTATCTAAACCATAGCATCAAGAGGTATCAGTTTTCTGTCTTTACTAATAAAGGCATGTTAGTATTATGAAATGAACAGTATCAATGGGCTTGTAGCCAGGGAAATAGCCCACTGGTAGTAGTAGCATGGTTGTGTGGGGCTAAACATGTGATGGTTAATCTTAATTGGATTGAAAAGTGCCTAGGAGATTAATAAATCACACCTCTGGTGTCTGTGAGGGCATTTTCAAAGAGTATTAACAGAAGACCCTTCCTGAATGTGGGTGGCACCATCCCATAGGCTAGGGTCCCAGAAGGAATAAAAGAGGGAAAAGGAGGAGTTAGCATGGTGGCACATGTCTGTAATTCCAGTTATGCCGGAAGCAGAGATGGGAGGATCATGGTTTGAGACTAGCCCAGGAAAAAAGTTAGCAAGATCCTATCTCAA